TTCCTTTGGCCTTCGGGACAATCTCTCGCTCTTCCATTAATTTAATTTTCCACTGGTTTCAAGCGAAGGTTGATGCTGCTTTCTCGATACCTTCAGCAATATGAAGGTATTCCATAGGCAATATTTTGAGCTCTACTCTTTTTCAGGCTGCCCTAAATAGTCTCATTTTCTGCCTTTTCACTGGCATTTTCTCCTTATGTTGACGATCTCACGATCTCATTGTGGTGTAGAGGTGACGAGTCCTCTTGCCTCCAATTCCAGCTCGCAATCGATATCGTGTCGTCTTGGGCCACCAATCATGGCTTCAAGTTCGCTACAGTTCAGATGTGCTATCACTTTTACTCGGAGGAAAGTTGGTCTCTCCACCCACCCGTTATCACTATGGTAATCATTTTATGTATATGGATACTACACAACTCTTAAGGTTGATCTTTGATACCATAAGGTTGATCTTTGATACCCATAAGGTTGATCTTTGATACCCATTTTTTTATCACTTCCATGTCGCTCGCCTCAGAGGTCAATACCAAGATCATTACATAATGTTTTTGTCTCTTATTTTCTTGGGAGCTGATAGATGCATATTCCTGTCTTGTTCTGTCTAAACTCGATCCTTGGGAACTGATAGATGGACACTCCTGTCTTGTTCTGTTTAAACTCGACCCTTGGTAGCTGATAGATGGACACTCCTGTCTTGTTCTGTCTAAACTCGATCCTTGGGAGCTGATAGATGGACACTCCTGTCTTGTTCTGTCTAAACTCGATCCTTGGGAGCTGATAGATGGACACTCCTGTCTTGTTCTGTCTAAACTCGATCCTTGGGAGCTGATAGATGGACACTCCTGTCTTGTTCTGTCTAAACTCCATTATGGCTGCAACCTGTCCACTTACAAATTACGTCGCTTTTCTCTCGTATGCGCTACGGTCAAATATCGACGTAATTCAAGATGAAAATTTATTTTCCAATTAAATTTTGATTTTTTTTGTTTTCCAAAGCAGCAAGTTAAGGGTCCTCTGGTAGGTTAGGAGAGCAGGAAGTTCCCCTAAGGTTTCAAAACGTCACGAAAAACGTTAATTGAAAGTTTCCTCTTCTAACTTAACCGAGTAAGCCGGAGGACTCAAATCAGAAAACGGGATAGTACGTCGTCACTTTTGTGAGGACATATTCCTCGGCCTCTCTCTCTCGACCTTTCGTTATCGTGTTGTTCTGCACGATGCCGGGTTGGGCCTCAGCTCTTGGGCCTCAGCTCTTGGGCCTCAGCTCTTGGGCCTCAGCTCTTGGGCCTCAGCTCTTGTGCCTCTTGTTCGTCTCCTTCCCAGAGCTGTCGTGTTAACACCGGCATCCTGTCCCAACAGGATTATCGCGATCGTTGCAACCTTCACGACCTCGAGCGGTCCCTGCAGCAACCACTTGAGCGACCGTCTCGCATCATGCAGGTCGGCGTTCAATCCCCTCGACCGTCCACAAGTGGTTGGGCACCATTCCTTCCCTCCGTCCCATCCCAAATCCTTATCCTGACAACCCTTCCCAGTGCTATATAGTGGTAATGGCTTGGCGCTTTCTGCTGATAGGTCCCCCTCCTTCCTCCCGCTTGTGCCGTGGTCTGACCATTGTTGTTGTTGTTAAAGATTCGTTATCTGGAACAAAGTTGCAAGTAGCACGGGCTATGGTGAGCCCGTAGTCTGGCTATTGTTCCTCAGGAGGGCTCGCTCCTCGCCGCCTTCATTCTCTGCAACTGTGGCTCGTTTGCAACATCTCTCTCTCTCTCTCTCTCTCTCTCTCTCTCTCTCTCTCTCTCTCTCTCTCTCTCTCTCTCTCTCTCTCTCTCTCTCTCTCTCTCTCTCTCTCTCTCTCTCTCTCTCTCTCTCTCATGGTTCACATTTGCAACATCCCCCCTTCGCATTGTTCCTTCGCCCCCCCCCTTCCCATGGAGAGGTCCTGCTCGTGAAATTGGCAAGACCCTCGAGGACCGGGCCGCGAGGACGCTAAGACCCGAAATCATCTCAAGATAACCTCAAGATACATAGTGAAAGGTTATCCTCTCTCTGCTGTTTTGAAACAGCTTAAAAAAATAACTTTTTTTTTTATGTCTTTCGCTGAATTGATCCCATCTGCTTAGACAGATCGTTTTCATGAGATGATTTCGGGACTTAGTGTCCCTGCGGCCCGGTCCTCGACCAGGCCTCCACCCCCAGGAAGCAGCCCGTGGCAGCTGACTAACTCCCAGGTACCTATTTTACTGCTAGGTAACAGGGGCATCAGGGTTGAAAGAAACATTTTGCCCATTTGTCTCCGCCTCTACCGGGGATCGAAACCGGAACCTCAGGACTACGAATCCGAAGCGCTGTCCACCCAGCTGTCAGGCGCCGTAAGTCTGGTGGAGCCTAAGTAATGGTGTCTAACTATCAATTACGGGCTCACCATAGCCGTGCTACTTGGGACATTTTGTTCCAAGTAGCGAATCTTTAACAACAACAACAATGGTGTCTAACTCTACCTACAGTGACGGCTGCCCCGCTGTAATGGTGTCTAACTCTACCTACAGTGTCGGCTGCCCCGCTGTAATGGTGTCTAACTCTACCTACAGTGTCGGCTGCCCCGCTGTAATGGTGTCTAACTCTACCTACAGTGTTGGCTGCCCCGCTGTAATGGTGTCTAACTCTACCTACAGTGTCGGCTGCCCCGCTGTAATGGTGTCTAACTCTACCTACAGTGTTGGCTGCCCCGCTGTAATGGTGTCTAACTCTACCTACAGTGTCGGCTGCCCCGCTGTAATGGTGTCTAACTCTACCTACAGTGTCGGCTGCCCCGCTGTAATGGTGTCTAACTCTACCTACAGTGACGGCTGCCCCGCTGTAATGGTGTCTAACTCTACCTACAGTGTCGGCTGCCCCGCTGTAATGGTGTCTAACTCTACCTACAGTGACGGCTGCCCCGCTGTAATGGTGTCTAACTCTACCTACAGTGTTGGCTGCCCCGTTGTAATGGTGTCTAACTCTACCTACAGTGACGGCTGCCCCGCTGTAATGGTGTCTAACTCTACCTACAGTGACGGCTGCCCCGCTGTAATGGTGTCTAACTCTACCTACAGTGTTGGCTGCCCCGCTGTAATGGTGTCTAACTCTACCTACAGTGTCGGCTGCCCCGCTGTAATGGTGTCTAACTCTACCTACAGTGTTGGCTGCCCCGCTGTAATGGTGTCTAACTCTACCTACAGTGTCGGCTGCCCCGCTGTAATGGTGTCTAACTCTACCTACAGTGTCGGCTGCCCCGCTGTAATGGTGTCTAACTCTACCTACAGTGACGGCTGCTGCCCGCTGTAATGGTGTCTAACTCTACCTACAGTGTCGGCTGCCCCGCTGTAATGGTGTCTAACTCTACCTACAGTGACGGCTGCCCCGCTGTAATGGTGTCTAACTCTACCTACAGTGTTGGCTGCCCCGTTGTAATGGTGTCTAACTCTACCTACAGTGACGGCTGCCCCGCTGTAATGGTGTCTAACTCTACCTACAGTGACGGCTGCCCCGCTGTAATGGTGTCTAACTCTACCTACAGTGTTGGCTGCCCCGCTGTAATGGTGTCTAACTCTACCTACAGTGTCGGCTGCCCCGCTGTAATGGTGTCTAACTCTACCTACAGTGTTGGCTGCCCCGCTGTAATGGTGTCTAACTCTACCTACAGTGTTGGCTGCCCGCTGTAATGGTGTCTAACTCTACCTACAGTGTCGGCTGCCCCGCTGTAATGGTGTCTAACTCTACCTACAGTGACGGCTGCCCCGCTGTAATGGTGTCTAACTCTACCTACAGTGTGGCTGCCCCGCGTAATGGTGTCTAACTCTACCTACAGTGACGGCTGCCCCGCTGTAATGGTATCTAACTCTACCTACAGTGACGGCTGCCCCGCTGTAATGGTGTCTAACTCTACCTACAGTGTTGGCTGCCCCGTTGTAATGATGTCTAACTCTACCTACAGTGACGTCTGCCCCCGTTGTAATGGTGTCTAACTCTACCTACAGTGTTGACTGTCCGCTGTAATGGTGTCTAACTCTACCTACAGTGACGTCTGCCCCCGTGTAATGGTGTCTAACTCTACTTACAGTGTTGGCTGCCCCGTTGTAATGATGTCTAACTCTACCTACAGTGACGTCTGCCCCCGTTGTAATGGTGTCTAACTCTACCTACAGTGTTGACTGTCCCGCTGTAATGGTGTCTAACTCTACCTACAGTGTTGGCTGCCCCGCTGTAATGGTGTCTAACTCTACCTACAGTGTTGACTGTCCCGCTGTAATGGTGTCTAACTCTACCTACAGTGTTGGCTGCCCCGCTGTAATGGTGTCTAACTCTACCTACAGTGTTGGCTGCCCCGCTGTAATGGTGTCTAACTCTACCTACAGTGTTGACTGCCCCGTTGTAATGGTGTCTAACTCTACCTACAGTGTTGACTGTCCCGCTGTAATGGTGTCTAACTCTACCTACAGTGTCGGCTGCCCCGCTGTAATGGTGTCTAACTCTACCTACAGTGTTGGTTGCCCCGCTGTAATGGTGTCTAACTCTACCTACAATGTTGACTGTCCCGCTGTAATGGTGTCTAACTCTACCTACAGTGTCGGCTGCCCCGCTGTAATGGTGTCTAACTCTACCTACAGTGTCGGCTGCCCCGCTGTAATGGTGTCTAACTCTACCTACAGTGTCGGCTGCCCCGCTGTAATGGTGTCTAACTCTACCTACAGTGACGGCTGCCCGCTGTAAGGTGTCTAACTCTACCTACAGTGTCGGCTGCCCCGCTGTAATGGTGTCTAACTCTACCTACAGTGTTGGTTGCCCCGCTGTAATGGTGTCTAACTCTACCTACAATGTTGACTGTCCCGCTGTAATGGTGTCTAACTCTACCTACAGTGTCGGCTGCCCCGCTGTAATGGTGTCTAACTCTACCTACAGTGACGGCTGCCCCGTTGTAATGGTGTCTAACTCTACCTACAGTGACGTCTGCCCCCGTTGTAATGGTGTCTAACTCTACCTACAGTGACGGCTGCCCCGCTGTAATGGTATCTAACTCTACCTACAGTGACGGCTACCCCGTTGTAATGGTGTCTAACTCTACCTACAGTGACGGCTGCCCCGCTGTAATGGTGTCTAACTCTACCTACAGTGACGGCTGCCCCGCTGTAATGGTGTCTAACTCTACCTACAGTGACGGCTGCCCCGCTGTAATGGTGTCTAACTCTACCTACAGTGACGGCTGCCCCGTTGTAATGGTGTCTAACTCTACCTACAGTGACGGCTGCCCCGCTGTAATGGTGTCTAACTCTACCTACAGTGACGGCTGCCCCGTTGTAATGGTGTCTAACTCTACCTACAGTGACGGCTGCCCCGCTGTAATGGTGTCTAACTCTACCTACAGTGAAGGCTGCCCCGTTGTAATGGTGTCTAACTCTACCTACAGTGACGGCTGCCCCGTTGTAATGGTGTCTAACTCTACCTACAGTGACGGCTGCCCCGTTGTAATGGTGTCTAACTCTACCTACAGTGACGGCTGCCCCGCTGTAATGGTGTCTAACTCTACCTACAGTGACGGCTGCCCCGCTGTAATGGTGTCTAACTCTACCTACAGTGAAGGCTGCCCCGTTGTAATGGTGTCTAACTCTACCTACAGTGACGGCTGCCCGTTGTAATGGTGTCTAACTCTACCTACAGTGACGGCTGCCCCGCTGTAATGGTGTCTAACTCTACCTACAGTGACGGCTGCCCCGCTGTAATGGTGTCTAACTCTACCTACAGTGACGGCTGCCCCGCTGTAATGGTGTCTAACTCTACCTACAGTGACGGCTGCCCCGTTGTAATGGTGTCTAACTCTACCTACAGTGACGGCTGCCCCGCTGTAATGGTGTCTAACTCTACCTACAGTGACGGCTGCCCCGTTGTAATGGTGTCTAACTCTACCTACAGTGACGGCTGCCCCGTTGTAATGGTGTCTAACTCTACCTACAGTGTTGGCTGCCCCGTTGTAATGGTGTCTAACTCTACCTACAGTGTTGACTGTCCCGCTGTAATGGTGTCTAACTCTACCTACAGTGACGGCTGTCCCGTTGTAATGGTGTCTAACTCTACCTACAGTGTTGGCTGTCCCGTTGTAATGGTGTCTAACTCTACCTACAGTGACGGCTGCCCCGTTGTAATGGTGTCTAACTCTACCTACAGTGACGGCTGCCCGCTGTAATGGTGTCTAACTCTACCTACAGTGACGGCTGCCCCGTTGTAATGGTGTTTAACTCTACCTACAGTGACGGCTGCCCCGTTGTAAGATCAGCCTACACGGGCCGCCTGCCCTTAGAGACGCATCTTCAAGATGGGAATTCATGTCTTTTTTCATTCTCTTCGTCCACTGTTTTCTTCGGATAAACATTGTCATTGTGGTTGACTGTGGCCCTCGTGGCTCTGGAGTCAGTAAATCCTTCCCGTAAGGGAGCCGGTCGGCCGAGCGGACAGCACGCTGGACTTGTCATCCTGTGGTCCTGGGTTCGATCCCAGGCGCCGGCGAGAAACAATGGGCAGAGTTTCTTTCATCCTATGCCCCTGTTACCTAGCAGTAAAATAGGTACCTGGGTGTTAGTCAGATGTCACGGGCTGCTTCCTGGGGGTGGAGGCCTGGTCGAGGACCGGGCCGCGGGGACACTTAAAAAGCCCCAAAATCATCTCAAGATAACCTCAAGAAGATTCCCATTGACTGGTGGCCGAGTTCAATACCTGGATACCTGGAAGGAGGCTGTGAGCACCACCGTTAACGAGGCCATTCGTTCTTGCCAAACATCTCGGAAAGTAATTCCCTATTCAGATTTGTACCCGGTTATTCAGTCTGCAATCCACAAACAGGGTCGTTGGGCAATCCAGTTAGCAGGGTAGTTAGCCTGGCGTTATGGGTAATAAACTGCAGGGATAGATTCACGAAGTAGTTACGCAAGCACTTACGAACCTGGGGCCAGATTCACGAAGTAGTTACGCAAGCACTTACGAACCTGGGGCCAGATTCACGAAGTAGTTACGCAAGCACTTACGAACCTGGGGCCAGATTCACGAAGCAGTTACGCAAGCACTTACGAACCTGGGGCCAGATTCACGAAGTAGTTACGCAAGCACTTACGAACCTGGGGCCAGATTCACGAAGCAGTTACGCAAGCACTTACGAACCTGGGGCCAGATTCACGAAGCAGTTACGCAAGCACTTACGAACGTGTACATCTTTCCTCAATCTTTGACGGCTTGGTTACATTTATTAAACAGTTTACAAGCATGAAAACTTGCCAATCAACTGTTGTTATTGTTATAAACAGCCTCCTGGTGCTTCGGAGCTCATTAACTGTTTAATAATTGTAAACAAAGCCGCCAAAGATTGAGAAAAGATGTGCAGGTTCGTAAGTGCTTGCGTAACTTCTTCGTGAATCTGGCCCCTGGCTCTTATAAGGCAACTATCAGCAGAAAGCGCCAAGCCATTACGACTATATAGCACTGGGAAGGGGGTCAGGATAAGGATTTGGGATGGGACGGAGGGAAAGGAATGGTAGCCAACCACTTGTGGACGGTCGAGGGGATTGAACGCCGACCTGCATGAGGCGAAACCGTCGCTCTACCGTCCAGCCCAAGTGTTAGGGTGCAGTCCCTTAAAATTGACCTTTCTCCTTGGCCTTCCTTGTGCCCCTGTGATAGTGGGAAACGAACTTAATTCCCTGGAAACACAAACCGAAACTGTGTCTATTTTCCGCTTGTTACAACTTGTAATAAAGTTGTTACATCTTGGCTTAACGTGTTTATGACGTATTAGAACGTTGTTACAACTTGCTATATTGGTTGTTATAACTGGTTAGGAGGTGTTAAAACTTGTTCCAACGTTGTACCAACGTCGTAGTTTCGGTGTGTGTTTGGCGGGAATTTATCCAGGCCGCATATGGGTCACAACTGCTAAACTCTTGGGCACAATGAAACATCGTCCTGCTCCTCATTGTCCATACTTCATTGTCCCACTTACAGTCGTCCACATCATTGTACAATGTCCAGACTTTCATGATGACCGCCCGGTGTCTTGCTGTCCCAATGTCCCTCGAAGTCATTTATATACCTTTGGTAGAATTCTCGGTGAATCCGATAGCTTTGATATCGCTCGCCTTATGTCCTTTTATTCTCGTAGTGATATCTTTGGTGATATATATATATATATATATATATATATATATATATATATATATATATATATATATATATATATATATATATATATATATATTGTGACGATAATCTCCTTCAAGAGATTGAGCCTGCTCTTCCCTTCATAACTACGTCGTCACAATTATATAATACGACTATGGAAGAAATGTCCAACAACGACAACAACACCAGCAAGGCTTGCCAGGGTGAGCAAAACGTATGCAGCCAGCCACCTGTTCGAACTCCAACCACCAAACTACCCGTTGATCGCTACGGCAGCGCTGATTGGTCGCCGGTCTGGCTGCACCTGCACTCGCCCCCATACTACCTGATGTCTGGGGTCGCCCCAACATCAGTCCTCAGAATGTTCAGTGCTTTCGTGGCCATCACACCTCCCAGCTAGACTCTAGCGTGTACTGAGAGAGGTGGTGGCTTTAAGCCAATATTCCAGCACCTCCCACTTAACTTTGTGTTGCACTTCTTGTTATTTTGCCTTAACGTAACTTTTCATTGTGTCATTTAAGTATTCTTATTATTTTGATTCATTGATTTTATTATAGGAATTTGTTTGTGCATTTTATTCATGTTTTGATTTATTTAACGTAATTAAATTTCATTGTTAAAGTTTACTTGTGTTTTGTGTGTCTTCTCCTTACCTTACCACAGACGAAGTTCCAGTTTTTCTATTTTTTTTTATAACTATGTGACGAGGCCATACCCCTAGCCTTAAACAGCCGAACACCAACGCGTTACCGTCACAATATATATATATATATATATATATATATATATATATATATATATATATATATATATATATATATAACGCCTTTTGAATATTCTGCGACGTACACGGGGCTACATAGTCCTGGCTTGGGCCAGTTTGACGAGTTACTTACTTCTCAAGTCCACTTCGGGCTCACCATAGCCCGTGCTACTTGGAACTTTTTGTTCCAGGTAGCGATTCTTAAACAACAACATACTTACTTCAAGAAAATGAAGGGAGAATAAATGAACAACTATCACCAGACATAACCACAACTACCACCAGTGATAACTGGTGGTAGAGAGGGATAACTGGTGGTAGACAGTGATAACTGGTGGTAGACAGGGATAACTAGTGGTAGACAGGGATAACTAGTGGTAGACAGGGATAACTAGTGGTAGACAGTGATAACTGGTGGTAGAGAGTGATAACTAGTGGTAGACAGGGATAACTAGTGGTAGACAGTGATAACTGGTGGTAGACAGGGATAACTAGTGGTAGACAGTGATAACTGGTGGTAGAGAGTGATAACTAGTGGTAGACAGGGATAACTAGTGGTAGACAGTGATAACTGGTGGTAGACAGGGATAACTGGTGGTAGACAGTGATAACTGGTGGTAGACAGGGATAACTAGTGGTAGACAGTGATAACTGGTGGTAGACAGTGATAACTGGTGGTAGACAGTGATAACTGGTGGTAGACAGTGATAACTGGTGGTAGACAGGGATAACTAGTGGTAGACAGTGATAATTGGTGGTAGACAGGGATAACTAGTGGTAGACAGTGATAACTGGTGGTAGACAGGGATAACTAGTGGTAGACAGTGATAACTGGTGGTAGACAGGGATAACTAGTGGTAGACAGTGATAACTGGTGGTAGACAGGGATAACTGTCTACAGACAGACAGGCCAACAGTGGGAATAAAGAGTTAAGGCTTCAGGCCGGAGAGACAATATAGCCCTTCGAACTCACACGACATTGCAAGATTTATATGTAAATTTATATGTAAATTTTTATATGTAAAAACAGGCTCCACTCTGCTATTGTATAACTAAATGCTGCCAATGGTGTTTAGTAATGTCATTAGCATTGGGTTTATATGAAATATATATATATATATATATATATATATTATATATATATATATATATATATATATATATATATATAACATATACATAACTCCAAATGCCAAGTCTCATGATCAGAAGAACAAAGATGGTGGCACAACAAGAACAAAGATGGTGACAATTGTTCAAACCTTCCAGGCTTCCAGATATTAAAGCAAGTAAAGATGCAGCCTAATCCACTCTAATGTATACAAGATACATCATTTGAACGTTGTTGTTGTTGTTTTAGATTTATCTACTCAGAACGAAGTGTCCATGTAGCACGGTCTATGGTGAGCCCGTAATTGAGTTCGGTTATCCCGCGATAACCTTGTTACTCTGATATTGGGTCAAAGTTTTAAATGGAGGTGGGGTTTCCTCCTTTTTCCCTGTTTCTTTTTTCGCTTCTGTTTTAGTCATTAGACGGAGTCTGGTTATAACAGAAGCATACAGTGGGACCTCCAGTCCAAGATATGGGAGTCTTCACTAGGTGAGGTGAGGACTCCCTCACACAAGTGCTGTAACCTAACTATGCAGGAAAGTCAAATAGTTTTTCAGACCCAAAAGAAAGCTAATTGAAAAAAAAATAGTAGGAGGAA